TTCTTCACTTCTGACACTAGGAGACCATTAGCTGCATCTTAGATGGCCACTTGAAAGCTTTTAAGACCCCAGTCGCTACTCACCAATATAGGATGTGGAGCAAGGCTTTTATGTATTTTGTTGTGCCAATTGAGTCTGGTGTCCCCCACTACTATGGTCCTGAGACATAGATCTATTGGATCTCTCTCCCATAGTGTCTGGTTGTCTGTGAGGGATTACTCTGTGTCTGTGTTCTATTGTTTCTATAAGGACTGCAGGTATTTTGTATCACTTGTGTCTGTGCAAGATTAGCTTCAGCTGAATTTATCCTTGGTCTAGAGTATACTTCTGTTCACTGACCCCTGTCTGATCATCTCAGGTATTTATGTGTTTATCTGTAACCTGGTGTTTGGTGTTAATGGCAATGCAGTATTGTGGACACATTGATTGGTATTAGCATCTGTCGTCTATCTCTTATGTGCACAATATGGTGTCCTCCCATTTCCTAATGTTATCATGGTGGTCACAGATCCTTCCCGTATATCCATCCCCCTACCCACTTCAGCATGTAGGCCCCAAAGCCCGAAATTAATCCCTCCCTTTCTCTCGCCATCCCAGTAACCTACTAGGTGAGTTCCCTTTCCCAAGCAAACCCTTCTTTTTTCTTTATAATAATGGGTTCAAACAGTACTTGTCTTTCTGCAATTAACATTTCACTCAGCATAATGTCCTCCAGGTTCATCCACATTGTGAGATGATTTGTGTGTCCCTCATTGTTCTTCAGTTTAGCATAGTATTCCATTGTGTGCTTGTACCATAATTTGGTTATCCACTTATCTGTTGATGGACATTTAGGTTGTTTCCATCTCTTTGCTGTAGTTAATTGTGCTGTGATGAACATAAGTGTGCATATGTCTGTTCATGCACTATCTCTCACCTCTTTAGGATATATTCCTAGTAATGGAATTGCTGGGTCAAATGGTACTTCTATTTTCAGTTTTTTAAGGAAACACCATACTCTTTGCCACAATGGTTGTACCATTTTACAATCCCACCAGTGCACAAGAGTTCCAATCTCTCCGCAACCTCTCCAGCATTTGTTATTTTCTGAACTGTTGAACTTTGCTATTATTGCTGGGGTGAGATGATATCTCATTGTTGTTTTGATTTGCATCTCTAGTGATTAATGATCGTGAGCAATTTCTCATGTGTTTGTTGGCTGCTTGTATATTTTCTTTGGTGAAGTGTCTGTTCAAGTCTTTTGCCCATTTGTGAATTGGGTCATTTGTCTTTTTGGTGTTGAGGTGTTGAAGTTTTCTATAGATTTTAGAGATAAGTCCTTGTGTTGG